GGAAATTCTGCTGTGGAAACGTCAATGAGAAGCTAACAGAAGGTCCAAGTATCGTTCGAAGATCGATAACAAAGCGCGCGGTTTTCTTACTCGTGTGCAACGCGTGTTTCATGTACCGTCGGTTCTTGGCTGCTTGTTTCCGTCCTGGTAGTATCGACTACGGTTAGGAGATAGCACGTTTCTCGTGTTGTGAACTGCGGTTTCGCTGTCAACTGTACCGAGAACTTTGACGACGTTTCCAATTGTTTGCGGTGCCGGGCTGCCGACGCGAGGCTCCGTCGACCGGGAAGAGTGCGGGCGGTTTCTAACTTCGGCGCGTGTTTCGAACGTGTTTCGAACAGTGCCCGAGGTGCGAATCAATATGTAGTCCGCGTGGCCACGCGCGGTTAAGTGCGGGTGCGCGCACGTGTACACGGCGTCGGGAGAACCGGTAACTATAACCTGCCAGCGAACAAACTTCCTTGTAAATAATATACCGTCTCGACAAGATTATTTCGAGAATAATAAACGAACATGCTGATAACGAGTTTAAGTATTTAAAGATCGTTCTGGCCGTGAGAGGCTGTGGAATAATCGAACGGTGAATTAATCAACAGGGGGATATTGTTTGAATATTGATGCGCGGCAAAAGCAGAAGGTTGCTCGAAGAGGAGCATCTCAAAGATGGTTAGAAAAAAGTTCATCAACACGACATCCTTGAAGAATTTTTGAAAAAAACATGTTCTACCTACATCGTATCGGGTTGCAGCAAAGCAGCAACGTCTGAAAAGCTCGAGCAGCCACAGAAAGAGTGAAACAGAGAGGAAATATGGGAAAGAGAGGAGAGATCAGCCACGATCGGCGGATTGCCGAGGAAACTTAGGAGAGGCAGAACTGGAGTTTGCGGTTTAAGCGCAAGAGTAGACGCGTTCAATCGCGCAGATGCACTCGGCTTCGAGCGAGAACGACGTAGACGATGTGCAGAAGCACGGGTAGGAAAGGAAGTCAGTGGGCCGAGATCAGTTTCTCCAGCCATTATTTACGAATCGCATTACTTCGATGCACTGCAGCTAGCGGCTTCCAATAATGGTGGAACAGCACACATTTTGGGCCGACGTTCAAGCGGCGACCGATTTGCTTTTCCGCCACCGAGTCGCCAAATCGAGCTACCACAATCTGTTCGCTTGCCAAACGGACGCTTATATCGTAGAAACAATTTCAGATCCCTCGATGCAACCTTACAAAGCTTGGACGAAACAAGATTTCCTTCGGACAAAATCTATAGCTCGGGAAATTAATAAATTTTCTGGAATACTCTGTAATCGTAAGATCAGCTTTTTCTCTTCGTAAGAATACCACAAATTCGAAAGGTTCCAATGCACATACGTACAGATAACGCACACAAGGGGTCCTTACCGAATACATAGTACAGATACACGAGGAACAAGGCCAGGCGGCGATAAATAATTTCTCACCCCTGCTTTCATTTCCCATCTCGTTTGAGTTCACGTCGCAGACTGCCATCCATTTTCTAAGGCGCGTCCCGAGGTAAATTATCGCGCTTCGGCTGACCTACTTCCGGCCTCTCGCTGCGTAATCGCGTTCCGTCCGCGCGAGCAAACCGCCTCAGATCGCTTCGAACTCGCGGCGGCTCTTTCATCGTTCGATGAAAAGCGTGTCCTCGATCACTGAGCTCTTTCGCGAACTTGCAATTAAAAAGCTGACTGGCAATCAACGCGACGAAAGGGGAAGACAGGTTATTGCTTTTCAAGCGAACGACCTTGCGACCATTCGATTCCATTTCATCCGTGACGAACTAGAACAAGCCACCCACGATTCACCAGGGTGTTATCGAACCTTATTAAAAGCTAGACGATATGTACGATGAACAGAAACATTTCGTACGTAAAGGAATGTGAAATTGCAAAAGTCGTCTTTCTTTGTAAACTCATCGTCAGCTGAAACTGTCGTATCGATTCTGTGACTGGGTAAATCCACTGAATAACGGTCGTTCCGTTAATTTTCCAAATATATTGACATTCCATCAACGGGCACTAAGGGAACGATTGCAAAAAGTTTCCAGCGAAGCGATTGGACTCCGTTCGAGGGATCAAAGTCCTGTCCACAACTCGGGACGCGAGAACAATGGTGTTTGGAATGGAATTCCGGAACAGAAAGTCCCTGTAATTGGAAATCTCTCTCTTTTTCTCTTCTTCTTCTTCTTCTTCTTTGGTCCCTTGCTTCCCGTCTTCAATGTACACGGTATAGTTGCCGTAAGAGACTGTTGGACCAGCGGATCGATAGTCGCTTGATTCCCACGAGGAAATCGTATAGAAAGGCTTTGCACCGACAAAAAAAACGAAGAAATCACTGAAACGCGATATTGACGGGCAAAGTGGATAAACAAGGAACAAATCCTATTTCTTCGAAAATGTTTAACGCTTTCGTGCTAATATTTCTTATCAACATTACCTTTCCAAAAAATGGATATTTTTCACAGAAAGGGAAAGAAGAAAAGATTAACATAGATCCTCGTGAAACTTGAGGCTACTTGAAGACGTTCAAAATCCGATTTATCGAGGTTGATATCGCATCTGAAAACCATAGCGTCGCGGTTGATCCCATCAGCATCGAGCACGGCCGGTCTGTTTAGAACGAACATCTTATCGGCTCGTTAGGAGGGAATTAGCGAGAGTAGACGATGGCTTTGACTGGTTAAATCGTCTAATCGGATCGGATCGATTCGCCGTTAAGACGGTGCGGCGCGATTCTCGAGATGGTTTCAGAAGGACGAAGGATCTGCTCGTGAACGAGCCCAGGCGGGTCAGGGATGAACGACCTGCTCTGTTCGTCTGCAGGCCGAAAGATCCTCGAAAGGAAACTTCGCCGATGGAATTCGTAACGAGCCTTCATGTTGACTCGGCCACACGATCGCCGCGCTGGTACCTAACCGTGATTCGACGATTCGGTTCGTTTTCCGTCCCGTTCCTTTCGCAAGCACTCCTCTCATCCTCCTTGCAGAGCCGCCCAGTAATTAGATTCACCGACCGAGATCAAAGTATACCGGTATTTCCATCTCCGTAAGAAAGTTTGCCAGGAGTTTTCTGCGTCTCCCATACTCCTCTTTCACCGTCTTCTTCGAGCAACTTTTTCCTCCGTGTCTCGGATGTCCTGGACCCTCGTCCTTCTTCTCGAATCTGGACGAGGGCGGTACACAAGGTTCCTCGAGAAAAGAAAATCGTCTGTTTCGTCATGAGAAAAGAAATTTCTACGTAGAAGGAAAAGAAATAAATGGATACCGTTATTTAAAACTATTATTCGGTTGTGATAAAGGATCGTTCGAAATTGAATATCGATAGGGTCGGTTGAAATGAAAGAAAACAAGATCGAAACGGATTAAGCGAAACCTTGTCAACGTCAAACCCGTTACACGGATCACGGACGAACGATTAACCGGAAAATCCTGGAAATCCATTGCGGCGGAACATCCGTCACCGGGAAACCAATTAACGAGGAAAGTAATGGGTGGCTAGAGACGGGCACACGTGCTGGCGTCCTTTTCAGCATATTTCCCATCGCGGGTTTTCAACGAAATAAACGTTTGGCAAGCCACGATACGTGACGCAGACGTCGTCTGGCGCAGCCTTTCCGACCCGCTGGGGATCCTTGTGTCAGGACGAATTCATAACAGAGTCATAATTGCGGGACGGGCCCCGCAGTATGCATAATCCCGCAGTTAGCAGTTCTGCTTAACGATCCGCGAGAAGCAATCCCGACGTACCTGCCACGCTGCACGATGAAGGCGTCCCAGTCAACCTCTCTCTTATTGCCCACTATCCCCATCCCATACGCCCCTTTTATTCCCTTCTCTTTTCTCCTGCTTTCTTTTCACCTCGCTATACAGACTGTTTCATAACGCGTGAAATTCATTTTATAAGCTGAACTAAGAAACATTTATTCAATTAAAAATTTCTTTAGAAAATAATCTTTGTCTATTTTTCTTCCTGTTCCTGTTTCCTTTCCCTTCGCGAGCAATACAGAGACTAAAATTACACATCTGCGCGGTTCTTGTAGACACGACAACCCGCGGCGTGCATCGATGCAGATGAGCACACGCCAGTGTGTAAATAAACGCATACACGTGAAATACATGTGACCACGTACACACTGTTAATCACCTGTGCGCGCGATATTACACGGACGTGTCGGGTACGCGGATTCGACGTAACGATGGCAGGGATTTCGAGATAAATTTATGAACGGCGCGATACATGAAACCCCGTCGCGTATCTAAATATTTGATGGCTCGCGTCACTCGTCGGATTCGACGATATATTTTATCGTCGAAGGATTTTCGTGGAATCGAATCTGATTCTGAGACAGCGATTCCTTGCGAGATCGTTGAACCCACCACACGAGATCAATAATGCTTAAAATTGTAAAATTAACGAGTTAATTCCTTTATCGATCGAATAAAACAGGCTGATACACGGTTGCCTAGGTTTCTCATTCATCCGCTTGTTGTGCCCGGTTCGACTATCGAGCCGTGGTATAAGCCGAAACAGGCTGCTCCCTTAATTCAGCTTCGTAATTAATTATGCATTGTTATTTGCCGCGATAAGGGAGGCAGGGAACGCGACGGGGAATTTGTCTCGTCTCCTCCCGGGATACGTCCACGATTGTTTCCCATCTGTTTCAGCGACAGACGGCGAGGATAATCGCGTGACTAACGATTAATCGAATCGCGAAGAAAGGAGGCGCGGCGTTGCGTGAAGCTTGCGAAATAATCGAGCGTCGACGTATCGTTTGCAGAGACAGAGGTGCACCCGTTTATTAATGGCCAAACTCATCGTATTGATAATGCGTTTACCTTAATTGCGGAAAGAGTGATAAATGTTGGTCGCGTTCGTTTGGTTATTCTTGTAATTTGTGACACGCGCGTTGTTTCGGTGAATATTGATTTTCACTTCTCGGGCTGTTCATTTCTGTTTCATAAGCAGCAATTAAAATCTGTCACTCACCCGTGTGCGTCCTCTGATGGGCTTTCAGATGTGAACTCTTGGTGTACACCTTCTTGCAACCTGGAAATTGGCATTTGTGTATCCTGCGCTTCGTATCTGGTGGACTGTGTTCATGGCTTCTCGCGTGGTGCCTGTTGGCCACGGTGGTCGCAGCTGCAGTTGTACCTGCATGTGCATGTTGCGTGCCAGAGACCGCTGGGTAACCATTCGCTGTGACGGAGATCAGTCTGCAAAAAAGATCAATTTCCATCATTTTTTCCTTCTCACGTCTTGGTTCGGATCAACGACGAAAATACTGATTTCCTTTAGCAGCTTACATGCGTAATCGCGTTCATTCCAAATAATTATCTTTACCGAGTAATCAATAGAGATCGCTAATATCAAAGAAATATGTTTCATTAAATTTTGATCAGCTACTTTCGCATTATGTATCGTTAAATTGGACAACTTTTCCTTTAGAATGATGGTATACAAAGAATACAAATGGTCGAAGCTTGAAAAAAGTATTTCTACGATAATTTGTGGAATGCTATTTACGTGGCATACCGAGGCTATCAAAAATAAATATCGAAACTTTGATGTTCGTCTGGTTCATTTATTTTCTCGGAAGTTTTACCGTCTGCGTTTGATGCATCAGCAAAGACAGACGCATAAATTTGAACAAAATAGAAAAACTTTCTCGACTAGCGACGAAATTGAATGGTGCTCGTTAATCATTCGTCCAATCGTCTCTACCATCGATCTTCTACCAAATTTATTTGAATGAAGTATTAGGCTTTTTCTTCCTTACAGCAGGATCTTAATTTGATTTATGGACTTGATTATTTATGATCGCAATTTTAGGCAACGTTTGCAAGTAATTAAATAATGGTAACGTTGAAACTTCTACACGTGAACAGTTCCAAGCAGAAGAGAAATATTGACTTCAGTCACGCAATTGAGAAGGTAATATTTTCTTGGTAATAAAAGAAAAAAGAGAAAATATTTAATTAACCAGCTAATTTATAACGATTTAATTCGTATCTTCGCTCCATTATTCCATATATTTTCCAACGAAATTCGTGAAATACGAGTTCGATATTTAAAAAAGGACACTTACCTTGCGACACCCTGAGCATTGCTGGTGGTAACCCTGACGATGGCGCTCCTGCCGCCCGTTCCATGAAGGTTGAGGTTCTGCACGTCGAGCATCGAACTCCCACTCGACGAGTGACTGGAGTTGGAATGACCTTGACCCGAGCCGGGGCTCGACGGTGGTGTCAGGATTTGACCTTCGCTTTCGCAGCCGCTGTCCTCCTCTTCCTCGATTTCCTGTTGCCGGTAACGTAATTCATTACGCAACGGGATTACGATAACGGGTCTCCGATTAAAGTACAAGCAACTGGTTAAAACGGTATCGAACATCGATACCACGCGGTACCACGAGGTCCCCGTGCGAATCGATCAATGGCAAATAACCCCATAAACGGATTAACACACCAGCTTATCGGTGTTACGCACACGCGTGTACCTCGGTTCGATTACACGCGCCATCGATACGTAATCATTAAAAACCGGGGAAAAATCGTTATTTGTGTAACTGCCGTTGTACTCTGATCAAAATTTGACAGGCATTGTGTTCGCGATACACCGGAATTGAACGATTGAAAGAGCGGGTCACAGGTCGTGTGTAAATACAGGTGTTCTTGCTGTGACATGTACCGTCGTGTCGGGTAGTTCGAGACCAGCCAATTAACGCGTTCTGTGTTCACTTCGCAGAAAAATTAAATTAAAATTGTTAATATAAAGTAATCAACTACGTGGAAATATCTGTTTCGTCGAAGTGATTCGAAGAGGTGGACAAGAAATAAAAGGTACAAGTCGAGACGAAGGAAGCATAAAAGGAATCAGCCGAGGCAGAAACTTGCCAAGCGTCGGATGTAAATCGGATTTGAACGTACCTCGTGTTCCTCATCCTCCTCGAGGTCCTCGCTGGGCTCTTTCTTGAGAATGAACGCCCTGCACGAGACGGAGGGCGAGCTGTCCCAGGACAACCCCGAACACGCCGAACTCGACGACGACGTCGAAAGGGAATCGAGGTGTCGGTCCAGATCCCTATCACGGCCGTTGTGGTTGTGATCGCCGGGACTGAATTTTATGTCGTCCAAACAGAGCGTTTCCCTGTCTTCCGACGACGTCGTCACCTGTGTCGCATGAAGCAACAGAGAAAGATAAACGAAATCTTTGATACGGGCTGTTCGAAAAAAAAGGTCCTTATGGGAACATTCAGCAGGGACATTGAGAACTCACCTCCATTTTGATTGGTGAGTCGAATTGTGCGTTGGCGGTGCCGGTGGACGCTGTCCACGAGATTGGAGGCGCCCTGAAGAGGTTCCAGGGTGCAGTGTCCAATTCTGTGGGCAACTTTTTGTACGACTGTAGCTTCGGTTCGTCCTTCAGGTACCTCTCCATCTCGTAGCATGTCTGCAACAATGAACGAATCGAGTTAATTAAATATACTCTAACTAAGACGCAAACGGTGTGTCATCAATTACATCAAACAGATAACGTAGGGCGCAGAATTATTGCAATTAATCCCTTCATTTAAAATTTCACTAACAAGATAAACGAATAAATCGACAGAATATCAAAATTACACGGTGAAATTTGTCCTTCGATACCTCCATTAGCAATAGCGTTATCGAGCACTCAATCAAAAGGATCAAGAAGCGATATACACACAATGGAAGAGAGCCGATTCAATCGATCAAAAGCATTAATGCTTCCTGCAAGCGACGAATGTCGGTCTGACGATGATTTTGCGCAACATTCGAAATGCGAAATCAATCGACGTCCGGGCTTTGGTAATTGTTACATACACCACTGTTTGTAATTCATCGATTCCGCGTGTCGAATTTTACAATACCGTCCCTCATTATATTTACAGCAATGCAGAGGGCGTAGCAGGGAGCAATTTATAGCGTAGGATAGATATGCAGATTCGACGAACGATTGTTACTGTTTGCCATCAAAATGCAACGACGATGTTGCCGCTGTTGCGTGCCATCTCTCCGGTTTAATTAGTGTTACAATGATCAGGAAATCCCTAGTATCATAGTCATCGTCGGTGCCGGGTGGATAATTACAACGGTACGACATTCCCTGCATATATATTCCATCGCGACCGCAATTTCTGCGTTTTCTCAGCGATTCGACGAAGACGAAACGTAGCTCGACGTGACTCGGCGATCAATTAAGTCTCCTAATTGTCGCCTAACCGAGAGAAACTGGTATTTCAAATACGTATTCGAGGAAAAACCTATGCAAACTTTGTATCGTGTATTCAGTTTGTGGTTACGATGTGCGTGTTGCACAAGGTAATTTTAGGTATTCATGAATTGCGTAACATTATTCAATTATTCATGATGGTTATTATTATTTTTAGATTACCTTCCCGCACGATCCACAAATGTCTTATTAAACGAGCAAAGTCGAAGCGAATTCCACGAAAGGGATGCCTGTTAAGTATCATCCAGCTCGTGTCTTACGAATAAAGAAGGTTCCCTCTCTTTCTCTCGCGTCTTTGTTACCATTATCGGCCAGCCCCCAAACTGGCCTTATAGAAAAGAGAAATTATTGCACGGCAGCGGTAGAGATAAGTGGTTTGATCGGACAAAACCGTCGCTGGCGCTGGTAACCGTTCGCGATGGTAATAAATTGACGGAGAATGCCTGAAGGAAGATGCGGAGGTACACGAGGAGAACGGTTGTAGTTATCGTACCGTTGCCTGCGAGCGGAGTAAAACGACCCTCGGTTCAACCGCACGATTTACCTCTCCTATGGACGATAATTAACATTTTGACAAGCGTACATCTCGTAACATCTATGATCTTTGTTAAAAAATCATTGATATTCATCAACGATGTGGTAAAATTCTTTCTGATGACGTTTCTTGCAGGTAGACCACGAAACACAAAGTTCATCGTGAATAATTCCTAGCTACGAGAAGAAGGACGGTGACGGTGGCATAATGAGAGGTTGTCTCGGAGATCGAGGAACTTTTATTAAAGCCACCGCGTTTTAATATACAGAGGACATTTATCTTGAACGAGCGTTCTTCTACTACGGATAGCTTACATCCTCAAGATATATACCGTTTCAGGGTAGCCACAATGTTTCTATTTAAATTTCTTCTCGCATGAATCAGCCATCGCGTTTGCGATTCTCTGGGAAATATTAAAACGAGGTCGGAAACGTTTGTTAAAGCGACAGCAAGCGTTCGTCGCGGCTAAACGATGAGCAAAGACGATCTTGCAATGGCTAGAGGAGGACTTGTCGAGCTAGCAACGACGTAATCTGATTGCGGGCCATGGTTTTAACACAATTCCTCGCGCAGTAGGTAGCATAACTTTGCTCTTCGTCTCCGAGGAACTGTAGCAAACTGGCACGGCCTACGGGACCGTGGTGCAACTTCCGCAACTCGCGAGTCTCTGTGTTGACGACGACTACGTCGATGTGTTTTCGCGCGTAAGGCTGTTGCAGATAATTTCGCGTCTGTTACGGGAAGTTCGCGTCGCCGCAGGTGTCTGCGAACGAACCCGAAGGCTTCGGCAGACTTCCGATACGACGATGCCGTTCGCAAGATAATTGTCTCCGGTGTTTTCCGCGACTCTACCTACCACTAACGATATTGCTACTTCAAAATTCTAACAATCAAAGATTCTAAGATTCTGCAATAACTTAAAATGAAAGATTTAATGAAATCTGCTTCACGAGAAGAAATATATACCAAAAGATTGAAAGCGAATCTTAATGACTACATAACGGTTAATTGCCGAGCGAAGTTTGGTTGTTTTAACGGAGAATTAAACTGAAAGGAAGTTTGTCTTGCTGACGTGGCAGGGATCTCTTTGGAAAAGCGCGAAAAATGGCATCTGGAAGAAGTTAGCGTGCTCCGTGCAATATCGTCGGTCCCCTCGCTCAGAAAAATAATCACCCTTAGACTTCTTCATTATTCACGATTAAAGTTCGTCCAGGAAGCTCGTGGAAGCGAGTAACGGCGTTAATATAACTTGGAAAGGAATTTTATCGACTATCCCTGGAACCGTCGCTCGAACCTTTATTCTTATTTCATTGATCGTCATTGAACCGTGAAAAGAGAATCGCTTAGAAAAAATATTTCCTTCAAGTTTGTCGTTGCAACGACGCGTTCACACGTGCAGCTTAGGTTTGCAGCCTCGAACAATTGCGACAGTCGACCGTACGTGACTATGAAACGCGAGAAAGGCACATGGACGATGAGTACAACATTCCGTTTCGCAAGCATCGTACGAATTTCAGGGAAAATTTCGTAACTAACAACCCCTTGATGTCTTCGAACATCTTCCAGCAATATTTTCGTTCGTTGTTTTCCTTCCTCGTGGATCAAAGTCTCGAATATAATGTGATTGATCGCATGAGAAAAGCGAAGCGAGAGAAAACGTAAGGACGGAGAAAGATATTCGTGGTTGGTCGTTGGCGCGCATCCCTGAAGGGGTGTGTAAACAAGTGGCTGTACGAGACGCAATTCTCCGCGAGATCGGCTTGCTGCTGGAAGGAACAGCACAAAGACAACTCTGTTCATTCATAACGAGAGGAAAACTTGGCCGCGCGTATAGGTATAAGCTTGAAATCTGCTCCGTACGACGATGGTTCCATCGAGCCCATGCTCTACGCTGCCATCTTCCCTCCGAGCTCGTTTCCCGGTTATTCCGCCAACATGCTCCCGGCTGTACAGACTCGAGCTGCTTTCTATCTCTCTCTTTCTCACTCTCGCTCTGCTATTCTGTTCCCCTCTTATTCAGCCACCACTTCCTCCAGAGTTCTTTGAGCGGTAATACCCTTCCAGCGTGAAAGATAAGACACATTAATACTCGTTACCGCACAGCCAGGGTTCACCTGTCTACGTTTAGAGCGAGATACAGATTCGAAGGCGATTTGACAAACGACTCTGTTGGAATAATGTAGGAAAATAGAGGTTGCATGTAATGGAGATCGAATACAGGTGTTTTGCGTTCGCTGTTATTTCGTAGAATTTGCAAGAAAAATAAGAGAAGAATCGGTACTTTGCATTCGTGCATGGCTACCGTGTCCATTACCCGGACCATTATCCCCTTTTTTATGATCCGTTTTATCGCTGCACTTGCTAGATTTCTTCTGCATGCGTGCAATCGTTCAAGCACGACTGAGAAGCCCTCGATCTCTGAAATAGCCCCGAAGAAAGAGGAGTAGGAGGAACGAGCCATCAATGATCCGAAACGACGTTCAATTTGCGAGAGATAATGGCCGTCCGATAGGATCGAGCCGATATCACGGTATCAACCGTGAGAATCCACGTAACAAAGCGTCCAATTCGAGCCGGGACACACGCGGTCCGGAACAAGCAAGGAAAAGATAAAGGGGACGTAGTTAGATTAGAGTGGGTTGGGTTTGTAACGAGGATCGGGACGAGAAGGACATCGAAAACGATTCGCGTACCCTGAACTCCCTTATCGAGGCCGTCGTACATCCAGCTGGACTTTTCTTTCCACCACGATTCCGCCTCTTTCGACTCGTTTTCTTCTCCCGTACGGTTCCGAGAAACCAGAATCCCGCGTTACTCAGCCTGTGGAGACACTTGGACGGTAATGACCGCGGAACCTGGGGGACCCGCCACTAACAATAAGATAAACCATTCTACAAAATGACTCTCAGACTCGGACGAGGGACGAGAAGAAAGGTTGGAAATCGTTTGAAAGAGCCAACTCGGAAAGGGAGAAAACGGAGGCGGAACGAGCTTCAACGTTTACAATGGTGAAACATGTAGACGCGACACGCGGTTTGAAGTATGAAAGAGGATCGATTTTAACGAGATTGATTAGAGGAGATACTCGTGGGACCTGGTGCCGACAAGCTTGGTTTCGTTGGATCACGATAGCGTCAATCCTGGTCCCATCAAGCTCAACGGAGAACCTCGAACTCGAGGGATTAGATATAGAGGACTTCGGACACGTTGGATGCGGATACACGTGTTCTTTGTTGAGGACGCTTCGAAACTCTAGAGACCTCGTATAAGGGAAGCTACATTCGTAGATGCTAATATCAACAGGATTGGATTGAATCAAGGTAAATAGGCGCGGTACCCATTAAATTAACACATCTAATGGAGGTCAACCTAGATTCAGCTCTAAGAATTCGGTGCTGATAACTTCCGTACTTTGGCTAAACCCATAGGACCCCGTGATCCCCGGGAATTAGCAGGTCTGAAAGTCAATTACCGCCTATCGTCGAAGTTCGTCGGCCGGGCGATCTTCTTACTTCGGTTCGCCCTTAGAAAAGTCGGCGCAGGACGTATAATCTAAGAGCTTCCTTTCCGGCTGCTTGCTCGTCGAACTTCCGCAGTAATTCCGTGACGCTGTCATTAACAGACAGACCCGCGGGCCCGGTCGAGAGAAAATGAATGATAA